TGTGTGTGTGTGTGTGTGTGGTGTGTGTGTGTGGTGTGTGTGTCTGTGTCTGTGTCTGTGTTGTTTTGAGACAGGTCTCTGGATGTGAGCATGGTGCCTTTCTTTAATCACAGTACTTAGGAAGCAGACAAGCAGAACTCTAGACCAGCATGAACATAGCAGGTTCCAGAACACCCAAGACTACATAGTGAGACTTTCTTAAAAACAAACAAAATCCACACCCAGTTACAACCTTGCCTTGGCTGTCCTTCGTGTGATAACCCACAGATAGAAAAAGCTGCACCCCTGAGAATGCAGCCATCCCATCGGCCTGTACTGGGCTATCAGGGTTGAGAGGTAAAATTGCAATTAAAATGATAAAAGCTGCTAGGTGGTAGTGGCTGTGATGGCGCACGCCTTTAACCCCAGCACTCTAGAGGCAGAGGAGGTGGATCTCTGTGAGTTTGAGGCTAGCCTGGTCTACAGAGTGGGTTCTAGGGCAGCCTAGGCTACACTGAGGAAACCCTGTCTCGAAAAAACAAACAAACAAATAAATGAGGTTAAGGCTGTAAGGCTTGTCTGGCTTTAACTTCTAGAGGATACAGGTCTCATGAGGGAAGGGAACATTATTTACAAATGATAAAAACTCTCACTCTATGGCCCTCAGAGTGGCTCAGTGGGTAAATGCTGGCTGCTGAGCCTGGCAACCAGAGTTTGATCCCACAACAAGGGGAAAGCTGGCTGGTAAGTTGTCCTTTGGTCACTACTCACATTAGGGGACATGCATGAAGTTAATGTGTTTAAATGTATTTTTAAAAATAAATCTCGGGCTAGAGAGATGGCTCAGAGGTTAAGAGCACTGGCTGTTGTTCCAAAGGTCCTGCATTCAATTCCCAGCAACTACATGGTGGCTCACAACTATCTGTAATGAGATCTGGTGCTCTCTTCTGGCATGAAGAGACACATGCAGGCAGAGTACTGTATACATACTAAATAATAAAATTAAATAAATAAATCTCACTATAGAAGGTAGTTGTGAGCTGGTGAGGTTGGTTAATAGCAGTAGAGGGGCTTGTTTGCGAGCCTAGTAGACATCAATCCCTTGATCCCACACATCCAAAGGAAAGCACTGTCTGTAAGAGTTGTTCTCAGATTGTACACACCTGCTCTAATGCATACATTCAGAAAGAAAAAAGACCACAGGCAACTGTAACCTTTCCAAGGTCAACTAAACTTTCATCTACCCCTTAGACCTCTGGTGTCAGCTTGCTTTTTGTTTATTTGTTTTTGTGGTTTTGTTTTTTGAGACAGGGTTTCCTCTGTAGACCAGGCTGGCCTCAAACTCAGAGATCCCCAGCTAAGATTTGTATTTATTTTATGTATACAGGTGGTTTGCCTACATGTGTATATGTGCACTGAGTGTGTGCCTGATGCCTACAGAGGCCAGAAGAGGGTGTAGAGCCTCTGGAACTAGAGTTGCAGCCAATGTGTGGGTGCTGGGAACCAACTCGAATCCTCTGGGAGAGAAGCTGTGCCATCTCTCCAGCCCCATAGCTTTTGGGTTTTGCCACCATCTTTTTGGGTAACTCCTATATTCTCTTCTTGAGGACAAATTTTAGTGGAGAAAGGAGAAAGATGCTCTGTGCACTTGAAGATGAGTCAGGTAGTACCACACACCTGCTCAGCTGTAGAGGAAGGTAGTCTTGCATGGTTGACTGACTTCTGACTAACATACCATCCTCAGCTCTCAGCCCTTTCCTGGCTTAAAGTTTTGGGGTTAGCCAGGTATGGTGGCGCACACCTTTAATCCCAGCACTTGGGAGGCAGAGGCAGGTAGATTTCAGAGTTCTCGGCCAGCCTGGTCTACAAGAGCAAGTTCTGGGACAGTCAAGGCTAGAAAGAGAAAACACTGTCTCAAAAAAATAAAAAATAAAGGAAACAACCCAAGAAAGTGACTGAAGTGAGCCCAGGGAGGGTAGAATTGGAAAGGTTATTTGAAGGTTAAGGGGAAAATACAGAGCAGCAGCCCTGACTTCATCTAAATCACGTGAGCAGGTATAGGGACAGAAGCCCCTTTCCTGCCGGGATCATAGCTTGGTAATCAAACACATAGTCAGTATGGCAAACCCTGGCTTCAGTCCCTGGTGCTTGGAGTATGTTAGGGTGCTGTAGTGTTGAGTAGAAAATGCCCCTTCCTGAAGAGCCAGAGCTGACCTGCTCACTGGGAAGAACAGCTCTGGGGGGATGGGAGGAATGGGAGGAGTCAGGGTCCAGCCCTGCCCCGGACCTCCTGGTTCCAATTTCTGCCTGTCAGCTGTGCTCCCAGCTGTCCACTGTCCTCCAGCCCTGTCATTTCAGCTCTGCCACCATGGTGAGAGGCTAGGAGGCCTACCAGCACTGTCTGAGTAGCTGGTGTGAGCCCAAAAGGTACTGGGGGCTTAGCCCCAGAGGAAGAGGACTAGCCCTCCCCCAGCAATACCATCAAGGTCTTAGGGACTCCCTCTTCCCACACTGAACTGACTTAGGAAGTCTCAAAAGTAAGTTGTCTCTTCATCTTTTCATTTCCTGAGTGTTCGGTTTCTTCGTTTCTGTCCTTATCTGTGAGTAGTTTGAATTTTCCAAGTGTAATTGTTGTACTTGAGGAGTAAAGATTGGAGGTGGGGTAAGCTGTGGTGGGGTCCAGAGAATGGAGCAGTAAGGGAAGGAAAGGCTCATATTACTCCGAAAACCAAAATAGCAGAGGCCTGAGGCAGGCCAGGATAGAACTAGGCACAAGGCCCCCAAGGCTCAGGAGAGAGGCAGGGGAGGGCAGCTCTCAGGACACACCTTCATACATGTAGCCAAGGACACGGATTAAGCCTGAAGCCATGAGATGTGCGTATTGCATCAATCACAAGGATGTGTAGGACAGTGGCTGTCGAATGTGTGAGTGGTCGCATGTCAGGTCTTCTTCAGATCAGACATTCACATTATAATTCAAAACAGCAAAATTACAGTTATAAAGTAGCAACAAAATCGTTTTACGGTTGGGGGTCATCACAACCTGAGGAACTGTGTTCAAGGGTCGCAGTAGTAGGAAGGGTGAGAACCGCTGGTTTAGGAGAACCCAGAAGTGACAGCCTTGAACAGCATACTAGGTTTGTAGACTGGGGCTGCCCCTTGACATGGAAAGACAGGTATGAGTTTAAGGACTGGTTGGGAAGTCTTCTGTCTGTTGGATGCTTTTTTCTGAGCCTCCATAGAGTCTGTTCATAAGTTCTACCAAAAGCTGTTTAACCAGGTTTCTTCCAAAGCCTCCCCTTGGAGGGCCACCCCACTGTGTGCTGCAGGAATACAGGAGTAGAACAGGCAGTCAGGGATTAGATCTCATAGCGGGGCTCCAACCTCTTGCAGGATGACAGAAAAGGAGGTACTGGAGTCCCCTAAGCCCCCCTTCCCAGCAGAGACTCCGCAAAGTGGGGTGAGTCTGCACTTTTGGTCACTGGGCAGAGGTGTTGGAGGGGCTGGGCAGCCTTGACATCATGTGATGAAAACTGCTTGACTAGACCCCACTTGTGTACGGCTCATTTGTTGTTGGGCTAGCCAACACTGGCAGCCACAATCCACTAGCCAGGGACATTGCCTTCCTGTGACAGAAAAATAAGAAAGTGACCATCATTTAACATTGAGTTTCCTTCACCCCCTCCCTCAGCTGCAACGACTGAAGCAGATATTCAAGAAGGGCTCTCCAGAGACAACTGAGATGGAGCCTCCCCCAGAGCCCCAGGCCAATGGAGAGGCAGTGGGGGCTGGGGGTGGGCCCATCTACTATATCTATGAGGAAGAAGAGGAAGAGGAGGAGGAGGAGGAACCACCCCCAGAACCCCCTCAGCTTGTCAACGACAAGCCCCACAAATTCAAAGATCACTTCTTCAAGAAGCCCAAGTTTTGTGATGTCTGTGCCCGGATGATTGTGCGTGAGTCTTGAAGGGGAGTAGAAACAGTAAGATGGAAGGCTTATGGGGTGGGAGAGGACTTAGTAAAGCCATGTAGGCGTCTGTAACAGACACACTGTGGTGGGAATCACCCTAGGGAAATACTGACATTGGTAGTGTAGGTACCAGAAGAGGGCAGGCCAGTCAAAGCTGAAATAGCTAGAGTGTCACCAAGGGAAAGGGGATCCAGACTTTACTCAAATATTCTCCCCCCCCCCGCCCCCCGCAAGTCAATAACAAGTTTGGGCTCCGCTGTAAGAACTGCAAAACCAACATCCATGAACATTGCCAATCCTATGTGGAGATGCAGAGGTGCTTCGGCAAGATCGTGAGTAACTAGGCTCTGGGGAGCAGGACCGTGGAAGAGGAGGCCCAGGCCATCGCCTGTTTGCTGGCCCCTGAAGCCATCCCATACATTTCCCTGCTTTCTCTCTCTCAGCCCATCTCTGCCTCTGAGAAGGGCTGAGCACTCATGGGGGAGGGGATTCTGGGCCCTACCTCGCTACCTCTAATGGATTTCCCCATCCCATCCTACAGCCACCTGGTTTCCGTCGCGCCTATAGCTCCCCACTCTACAGCAACCAACAGTATGCTTGTGTCAAAGATCTCTGTAAGTGCCCATATAGGACCTGAGGGAGTGGGCAAGTCTCAGAGATGGTTTCACACCACCTCTCTGGAAAGTAAATTCTACAATGGAGTCTCCATTAGTCTAGCATTTTCACAGCTGTTTTTGGATGCACTGACTTACAGCTGAGAGAGACACATGAGTGAGCAAGGACTACAAATAGCCAGAGGTAGAGATAAGAATGAAACCATAGTCTGTTCCTTTCAAACCAATGCTACGCAAGAACAAGGATTCTAGCCTGTTTTCATCCTGTTACAGGGTGATACCACACTCAGGGCTAGCCCATGAGCTATGGATATCCCCCTGGACAAGTTCCTAATTTGGCACCCTTACAAGTAGATTCATTGAGGTTGCAGTGATGGTACATGCCTTTAATTCCAGTATTCATGAGGCAGAGGCAGGTGGATCTTCCCGATTCCCACATGTAGCCAGGGCTACATAGTGAGACTGTCTCGGAAAAGAAAGTACATGTATTCACTGAAAATTACTCAAATGCATTTGGCAGAGAAGAGCATGAATAGCATGGGTTCAAAAGCCTATGCTGGTGGCAGCACCCTGGCTTGTACACGTGCCACTCAGCAGAACAAAAGCCCACAGTGTGATGTTCTCCTGGAAGCAGCCCCATCACAAGGCATTTCCCCATGGTGTTTTAGAGCCCTTTATAGATTGGTGACCTAGGTATTAGCGCAGCTGGCCCTGCCCTGTTCTCTTCATCTCCAATCCCCAATAAGTCCCTGTGAGTGTCCACTGACTTGTTGATGTCCCTTTGAGAGGTCTCTCCTCCAGGCCTCCTCTGCCTTCCCAGTAACGTATTCTTTCTTCTCCCATCCTACTAGCTGCTGCCAATCGCAATGACCCTGTGTTTGAGACCCTGCGCGTAGGGGTGATCATGGCAAACAAGGAACGGAAGAAAGGACAGGCAGATAAGAAAAATGTGAGCGCCATATGTCCCCACAGAGGCCCGTTGCAGAAGCTCCATGGGACAGGTCATTTCCCCCTTGGGAAAGATGATAGAAGCAGTGGATCTGCTGCCCCCAAACGGTGCAGCATTACCAAGCAGAAACATTCCTGTGGGAAATTTTAGATTTTTTTTTTTCGGTACTTTATGTACCTCACCAGAAAGAAAAAGAAAAAGAATTCCTGCCACAGGGCTGAGAATATAGTTCTGTGGTGGAATGTTTGCTTAGTGTGTATGTGTAAGGCAGCCTGGTTTAATGCCCAACATTGAAGAACAAACTCACTCCAACCTCAAGTCCTTCTAAAATTGATGACTAGGTACCATAGAAGGCTAAGTCCCTGACCTGGGCACTTCAGGTAACAGGCAAGATCTGTGTTTTGCATTTAGGGAAGAGAATTTGTCATTCCAAGTAACTAAAGAATTCTAAAGCTAGCAGGTGTCCATGAAGATCATATGGTGTGACCTGTCATATTGTAGATGAAACAGGCACAAAGCTACTACTAGTCAAGGGCAGTCTTCTTGCCTTTTACAATAGAGTTACAAACTTGGTAATGCCAGAAATGTGTTTGCCTGGGCAAATGATTAATTTCTCCCTGGACAACCTTATGAACCAATATAAATGGTGTTAGTTAAAGCAATTCCAGTTCTGGGGTCTCTGTGAGCACCAGGCACATGTGCAATCAAAGCACTCATACAGTAAATAACAATGCATAAAATAACTCATACAATAAATAACAGTAATAAAAACCTGAGAGAGAGAGGAGAGAGAGAGAGAGAGAGAGAGAGAGAGAGAGAGAAAGAAAGAAAGCAGCAAGCATTCTTTACTACTACCACTCTCCAGCAAGCCCACCCCCTAAATCAGCATCAGAGTCTCCTTTAGCTAAAGACAATCTGGATCCTCCTGCCATCGATTCCCAGGTACTGGGGTTACAGATAGGTGCCATCACACCTGCTGTATGTGATGGGAGGGATTAAAACCAGGGCTTCTTGCTTGCTAGGCAAGCAATCCACTAACTAAACTATATCTCTAACACGTATTCTGTTCTAAGGGTCTTTTTGTTGTTGTTGTTTTTATTTTTGTTTTCCAAGACAGGGTTTCTCTGTAGCTTTGGAACCTGTCCTGGAACTCACTCTGTAGACCAGGCTGGTCTCGAACTCACAGAGATCTGCCTGCCTCTGCCTCCCGAATGCTAGCATCAAAGGTGTGCACCACCACCGCCCAGCCCCTAAGGGTCTTGCTATGTAGCCCTGGCTTTATAGCCCAGTCTGCCCTTGAATTCACAATCCTACCTCTGCAACCTGGTGCTGGAACTAGAGGCATGCACAGCCTTGCCTGGCTTTAATAACTTGAAAGTTGATCTGGATGGTGGGGTGCGGGCTGGAGAGTTGGCTCAGGGGTTAAGAGCACTGACTGTTCTTCCAGAAGTTCTGAGTTCAATTCCCAGCAACCACATGGTGGCTCACAACCATCTGTAATGTGATCTGGTGCCCCCTTCTGGCACGCACTGTATACATGATAAATAAATAAATAAATCTTAAAAAAAAAAAAAATCCCAGCACTCGGGAGGCAGAGGCAGGCAGATCTCTGTGAACTTGAGACCCGCCTGGTCTACAGAATGAGTTCCATGACAGCCAGGGCTGTTACACAGAAAAACTCTGTTTTGAAAATAATAATAATAATTTGAAAGTTCATAAGAGAAATTTACATCTCATGTGGTAAAAGCAACAGAAACTTCCTGGAGATCTAATCTCCAAGTAGTTGATCCACAGCTTGGGCACAGATGACACATTTCAGTCAGTTGAACTAAGAGTGACAAGGCTGGTTCAGGAAAAACATTCATGCTTTTCAGTTTAGTTCTTAAGAGGGAACCGTGAAAACTATGCCAGATAGGTAAAGTGATGCACGCTGGAAGTCCTAGCATGGCGAAGCTGGAGGCCAGAGGATCAGGAATGCAAGGTCATTCTGGCCACATAAGGCATTTGAGGACAGCTGGGCTGCATGAGACTCTGCCTCAGAATAACCAAAAACAGAGGGGGGGGGACTTCTGTGCCCCGCCACACAACCCTGTCTTACACACCAGAGAATTTTTAAGCAGACAGGACAAAGAAGAACCTGAAATCTCAATTATAGGGTGATTTGCAGGGACTAAAAATTAATGGGGAAGAGAAGCCAGAAAAGATATGTCTGCTGTCCTTAGAAATTTAGAGACTGGAAAAAAAAGAAAAGAAATTTAGAGACTGTGTTTGTTACACGTCTTGCCCAAGAAGGCAAATCAAGACAAATAACTACAGATAACAGGGAAGCTGAAATAGGCTTAACAAAAGAAATTTGAAAAAGAAAATCACATTGGGGTTATATTATATTGTAAGGTAGTGAACTCCCTGTCGTTACTGTATTTAGACCCAATGCAGGTAGTCTGCCTGCCAGCATATTTTAGAAGAAATACCCACATCGGGCAGGTGGTTGGACTAATATTTTCTCCAAGTGTCTTTCCAATGCTTAGATGCTATTATTGTTCTACAACTCTCTGGCCTGCCTGGAGAGGCAGGGAAAACATGGGTTCCTGGGACAGATTCTAACTCTGGTGTCCCCTCCAGCCTCTAGCAGCCATGATGGAGGAGGAGCCAGAGTCAGCCAGGCCAGAAGAAGGGAAGCCCCAGGATGGTGAGTGCCACCCATCTCCATCCACAGAGACAGCATTGGGGTCAGTGTAGTCAAGGGCCTGTCTGCTGTATAGCAGGTTGAGAGGGAAAGTTTGGGCCAGGGTGAAAAAGTCCTCCAACACAAGAGGAAGGGATGATGGATGCCCTCCTGGAGGCAGAAGCAAGTTGTCCATATTTCCCATCCAAGGAAACAATGCAGAAAGGGACAAGAAGGCTGAGAAGAAAACACCGGATGACAAAGTAAGAGTCTTGTCTACCTGTAGAACCCTGGTCCTCTTCCGAGTCAAGGTTTGGCATCGTTTATGGCTTCCTCAGCTGCTCACATCACCCTCCACCCGCTCTCCACACTGAGACCGACACACAAAAACCAGTAAACTCCTCTCCCGAAGAATTGGTTAAGGGTCGGGAAACTTACTTCCCACCCTACTCCCTTCCCACCCCCCAGCACAAGCAGCCCGGCTTCCAGCAGTCTCATTACTTCGTGGCTCTCTATCGGTTCAAAGCCTTGGAGAAGGATGATCTGGATTTCCCGTGAGAAGCCTTGGGGGGGAAGGGGGGGCACGGAGGAGAAAGAGATGAGCTCTCTATGGGAATGGAGAAGGGCGGGTGCCCTCGGCTGCTGTTTTGGAGCCGTGCCTGCAGCACAACCAGAAACTGCTATGCGAATGTAAATCACAGAGCGCTCTCCTTCCTGACCCAGGCCGGGGGAGAAGATCACAGTCATTGACGACTCCAATGAGGAGTGGTGGCGGGTGAGACAAACGGCTAGAGCCAAGGTGGGCTAGGGCTATGGGGAGGGTCTAGAACCTGAGATGTCAGCCTGCCTGCTCCCTTCTCTAGGGGAAAATCGGAGAGAAGGTGGGATTCTTCCCTCCAAACTTTATCATCCGGGTCCGGGCTGGAGAACGTGTGCACCGTGTAACCAGATCCTTTGTGGGGAACCGCGAGATCGGGCAGATCACACTGAAGAAAGATCAGGTAGCTTGGGTACCCTAACCTAACGCCATCCACACTCGTGGGAGATGTAAGTAACCCTTCGTGCAATCGGCCCCTCCGTCCTTAATCCAGCCCCTGCTCCCCAATTCTCTAACTCCTTAGATCGTGGTGCAGAAAGGAGACGAAGCTGGCGGCTACGTCAAGGTCTATACCGGCCGCAAGGTGGGGCTGTTTCCCGCCGACTTCCTGGAGGAGATTTAGGTGTTGGCACCTGCTGGCGGGAGACACCTACGCCTGGTCCTGGGCGGGCCCAGTGCGGGCTGGGGAGGGAAGGGTCGACTGGACTCCTGAATGGGGAGAGTTGGAGAGGCTACTGGGATGGGGCGTGAGGATGAGTCTCGGGAGGCTCTGGCTCCCTCCCACCTCTCCCCCTGCCTAGGGCTTCAGATACCCGGGGCGCTGACCCACACTCCAGGCCCATCCCACCTTCAAGGGATGGGGGTGGGGTGCGTATCCATAAAGAGGCGCCGAGGGCCGAACTTCACATGCTGCGAATTTATTAAAGTTTTGACAGAAGTTAGAGAAGTTGGTCTTTTTGGCCTATGGATGAGGGGGGAAGAATGCTCCACCTCATGCCGTCGGGATGTGGAAACCCACGGCTGGTGGGAGTGGGCAGACTTGCACTCACTCGCTTAGGCTTCTGCTGGTGGAGGGGAGTGGAGGACTGAAAAGCCTGGGAAAAGAGCGTGCAAGGCTAGGTTCCTCCTTCAGATCTTTGAGGTTCAGAACCTGGCTCAGAGTCCGTTGTGGCCGCCAGGGGGCGATGTAAGATCTCAGTTGGAGAGAGGGATGGGGAGGGCCGGGGGTGGCTAAGGGGAGAGAACCAGAAACACAGAGCCAGAGACCCTAGGCCTGGGAGGGGGTGGGGTGCGTGCCGTCTCCATGGCAACACTTCCTCCAGTCCTCCGGGAATGGAGCTGGCGAGGCCGGGGGGCCTCACCCCTCCCGCGCGGCCCCCCAGCCCTCTCCCGACAGGTACGAGTGAGAGGACGCCTGGCAGACAGCTAACCGGTTCTAGCGGAGACCCCCCCTGCGGCGCGCCGTATGCAAATGTTATTATTTGCATATGCAAATATGTAAATGTGCCGGCCCTGGTCAGGGCGGCAGGTGGCGAGGAGCGGGAAGGTGTGCAGAAGGGAGCAGAAGGAGATGAGGAGTTTGGGGACCTAGGAGCTGACTGTGGAGGAGCAGCTTGGGGTGGTCGCTGGAGTCGGGCAGGCGGAGGGTCTTGGGTTTGCTAGCGGGTGGGGGAGGGTCGGCCTGGCCAGCAGAAGCTCCTCTTGTAGTCTATGGGTTGTCTGCCAGGACTGAGGTTGGCACTGCCTAGCAAGGTTGGCAGCAGGAGCCCGGGCACCATCTGCTGCTGGAGGAGGGGGAGGGCAGAGGCTCAGCTGGGCTGGGAAGAGGAGGGCCCGGGACAGGCACCCCCTCCCCTTCCGTACAGAAAGATGAGTTGTGGGGGGGGGTAGGGAAGCACACAAAACTCGTTTGCAAAACCGGGTTCAGTTTCTTGCTCCCTTTGCCCTTGGCTGTCACTTCTGAAAGCCCGGCGGTGTAAAGGCCAGGGCCTTAGAGGGACACCCGGACAGTCCCCTTACACAAGTAACTAGAAGGACGAGGGTATTCATCAAACGGTCTGAGGTACTCAAAAACTGAGCCCTCCCGGGACTGTCAAGAGCCCCCCAAAAATGCTGAAGCAAAACCAATTTACTGGCTCATTGGGCGGCAGTGTTGGTGTAGGGGTGTCGAAGAGCAGGGAGAGCGGCTGTTCTCTCCCTATACTCGCAGGGTGCCCCCCCTTCTCCCTCGCCTTACCGAGCCGGCAGCTGTCCCTAATTAGAGCGGCGGTTTAATTGGATTTATCAGCAGTTAATAGGAAATTAAGCAAAGGGCCCGAGAGAAGGGGGGCGGGAGGAGCCGGGAGACAGGCTGCGCTCAACTGGAAGGAGGGGTACCGGGGCCCCAGGGGTGGAGAATAGTGTCTTGATTGAACCCGGTGATCATACCCTTCTCGGTACTGAGGGGCTGAGTTGAGCCCTGGCCAATCCCAGGAGAGGGCAGGAAGTATGACAGGGACACTGTTTGGCCCCCAGTGCCTCCCACTCCCACAAGCCAGCTGCCTGGGTGATGGATGGCGCTGCCACACAATGCAAAGGTCATAAGTCTGGGCCAAGGAGCAGACTGAATTGAAAATAAAGCAGAGGAAGGACCAGGGTATATAGGGGGTCCAGGACACAAGGTACATCCATCCACCCCTCTCCAGATTCTAATTACTGAGAGAGAGAGAGAGAGAGAGAGAGAGAGAGAGAGAGAGAGAGAGAGAGAGAGAGAGTTTTCTTAGATTTATCAGGCAGCATGATGCCTGGAGGTGAGATAGGACTGACCCTGTCTCCAACCCTCACCTCACCCCAGCTGGAGGTCCTGGGGGATCCTCTAGGGCTGGTGTTTGTGTCTCACCAACCATTGCTCTCCCTCTAAGTTGGGGATGGCAGGGTCTGCTGGAATTGCTGCAACAGGGACAGCTGGAGGTCTCTATACCTGAGGGCCTGAGAAGGAAGATGTGGGCCACAAGGGGGTGGGGAGGGGTGGGGAGGGGGTGGGAGTGCTAGGCCTCTGAGTCAACAGCCCCAGGCACCTCCTGTCACCACTTCCTCATTACATTGCTAGGCTAATTGGGGCTAACAAGGCCGGCCCCAGCGACCTCTCTCACATACTCAACCCCTCAGGGCACAAATGGCAGCGTCTGCTTTTGCCTAGGTGCAGCCCCTTGAATGCATGTGGAAGGGTCTCTTTCTCTCTGTGCCCCTGGTGCACGGCGTATGTATGCGTGTCTGGGGATGTAATGTGTGTCTATATCCTATCCCCAAATGCGTGTGTTCCTGTATATGTTCCGATTTTGTCAGTGCCTGTGTGTCTATACTGCCCGGTTTGGTTTGTCTACCCTCATTTCTGTGTTTCTGTCTATAAGTCCCAGGATGGCTAGGTGTGTTGAGCATTCTTTCAAACGTGCTTTGACATGTCGGCGTTTCTGTGTCTGTGAGCTGTTTAAGTCTGGATGTATCCCGGTGTGCAAGTGCCTCCAGGATTGTATGTGTGAAATTCAAGAGTCACTGCCGTGTGTGTGTGTGTGTGTGTGTGTGTGTGTGTGTGTGTGTGTGTGTGTGTGTGTGTGTGTGCGCGCGCGCGCGCGCGCGCGCTGCTCTGGCGTCTCTGCTTGCAGGTGTGTGTCTCGGTGACAGTGCGTGGGCGTGTGCCTGGGTGTGAGCTGCGCGGCAGCATGTACCCGAATGACAGTGTGACGCCCGCGCCCGCGTGTGCGCGCGTCCCCGTGCATGAGAGCCTCTGATTGAGTCTCCCACCCCCGCTTCTTTCTCTTCCCATTTCTATTCCTCTCTCCTTTCCCGGCCGGCATGGAGTCCGCATCATCTCCATCCATTATTGAAGAAACAGCCGCGTCCTCTCCAATCACATCAACACCCCGCCCCCTCCCCGATCTGCTCTCCCCGTGGCCCCTCTGGCTGTCAGGGAGGAGGGGATGCACAGGCATAGAGGGAGCCCTGGGCAGAAGTGGGTTCATGACCCTGTGCCCCGGGTCTAAGCAAGGCACTGGGACACCAGGGTCCCTAGCGGTGAGCGCTTTGCATAAACAGATGGCACAGGCGTCTTTGTCTCGCTTGCTAGCCTGCTTGCCGCCAGGCTCCTGGCTCCACTTCTGTCTGGCTGCCGCAATCATGATCATCTCAGAGCCTCAGGACCCAGCGCCCTTAATAGTGGCAGCGGGGGTCAAGGGCCCCCGGGACTCCTGAGCATAAGCAGGGCATTGTGGCTTCCCTCTCGGGCGCCCTCTCCAGTACCTCAACTGCAGCGGGAAGACAGAGGCCGCTGCGAGGTGACAGGAACGTGGAAGTGATGGGGAGGGGACCCTGAACAGTGTCCCCAAGGTGTCCGAGAGCTGTTCCATTGGGTTGCTGCAACTCCCCAGGGACGGGTACTAAACCACAGAATAGAAATAGAGCTAAAGAATGGATGGGTGGAGAGAGGGGAGAGAGAGAGAGAGAGAGAGAGAGAGAGAGAGAGAGAGAGAGAGAGAGAGAGAG